CACAGCCAACATTATACTGAATAGGGAAAAGTTGAAAGCATTTCGCCTGAGAACTGAAACAAAACAAGGATGCCTGCTTTCACCACTTCTATTCAACATAATACAGTATTGGAAGTTCTAGACAGAGCAATCAGACAAGAGAAAGAAATTAGGTGAATCTGAATCAGTAAAGAGGGAGTCAAACTGTTGCTGTTCACGAATGATATGATAGTATACCAAGGCAACACTAAAAATCATGTAAAAAGCTCCTAGAGCTGGTTAATGAATTCAGCAGGATACAAAATTAATGTACACATATTAATACAGCTCTGCTATACACCAACAGTGACCAAGCTGAGAATCAAGTCAAGAATGTAATCCCTTTTATAATAGCTGCAAAATACAATGAAATACATAGAAATACGCCTAAGCAAAGAGTGAAAGACCTTTATAAGGAAAACTACGAAACACTGCTGAAAGAAATCATAGATGATACAAACAAATGGAAATAGCTCTCATGCTCATGGAGGGGTAGAATCAATATTGTAAAAATGACCATACTGCCAAAATCATTCTATAAATTTCCATGAAAATACCACCATCATTCTTCACAGAACTAGAAAAAATAATCCTAAAATTCATATGGAACCAAAAAAGAGCCCGCAGAGCCAAAGCAAGACTAAGAAAAAAGAACAAATCTGGAGGCATCACATTATCCAATTTCAAACTATACTATAAGGCCAGTCACCAAAACGCCATGGTACTAGTATAAAAAATGGGCATATAGACCAATGGAACACAACAGAGAACTCAGAAATAAATCCAAATACTTACAGCCAACTGATCTTTGACAAAGCAAACAAAAACATCACGTGGGGAAAGGTCACGTTATTCAACAAACGGTGCTGGGATAATTGGCAAGCCACATGTAGGAGAATTAAAATGGATCCTCATCTCTCACCTTATACAAAAATCAACTCAAGATGGATCAAAGACTTAAATCTAAGACTTGAAACCATAAAAATTCTAGAAGATAACATTGGAATAATCCTTCTAGACAGTGGCTTAGCCAAAGACTTCATAACCAAGAACCCAAAAGCAAATGCCAAAAAAAAAAAAGATAAATAGATGGTACTTAATTAAATTAAAAAGCTTCTGCACAGCACAAAAACTAACAGCAGAATAAACAGAAAACCCATAGAGTAGGAAAAAATTCTTTGCAATCTATACTTTTGTTGAAGGACTAATATCCAGAATCTATGAGGAACTCAAACAAATCAGCAAGGAAAAAAACAATGTCATCAAAAATTGGGCTAAGAACATGAATAGACAATTCTTGAAAGAAGATATACCAAGGGTCAAGAGACATATGAAAAAGTGCTCAACATCACTAATGATCAGGGAAATGAAAATCAAAACCACAATGTGGTATCACCTTACTCCTGCAAGAATGGCCATAATCAAAAAATCAGAAAATAATAGATGTTCACAAGGAGGTGGTGAAAAGGCAATACTTTTATGCTGTTGGTGGGAATACTAGTAAAAACACTATGGAAAACAGTATGGAGATTCCTTGAATAATGAAAAGTATATTTACCATTTGATCCAGCAATCCCACTCGTGGGTATCTACCCAGAGGAAAAGAAGTCATTACATGAAAAAGACACTTAAACCTGCATGTCTATAGCAGCATAATTTGCAATTGCAAAAATATGGAAGCAGCCCAAATGCACATCAATCAATAAATGGATAAAGAAAATGTGGCACATATGTAACATGGAATACTATTCAGCCATAAAAAATGAAATAATGGCATTTGCAGCAACCTCGATGGAATTGGAGACTATTATTCTAAGTGAAATAACTCAGGAATGGAACACCAAACATTGTATGTTCTCACTCATAAGTGGGAACTAAACTCTGAGGACACAAAGGCCTAGGAATGATACAATGCACTTTGGGGATTCAGGGGAAAGGGTGGGAGGAGATTGAAGGATAAAAGACTACACACTGAGTATAGTGCACGCTGCTCAGGTGATGGGTACACCGAAATCTCAGAAATCACCACTAAAGAAATTATTCATATACCTAAATAAATAAATAAATACATGTTTAACCAGAAAAAAAATTATATTCCCTTAAAAATATTTTATTTCCTTTGTTTGATTATATCACTAGAATGTATTTTGAACTTCATATTCTACATGTGTACATTATAAACAAGCCTGAAATAGATGCCAAAAAGAGTTACTAATAGCCGGGCGCGGTGGCTCAAGCCTGTAATCCCAGCACTTTGGGAGGCCAAGGCGGGTGGATCACGAGGTCAAGAGATCGAGACCATCCTGGTCAACATGGTGAAACCCCGTCTCTACTAAAAATACAAAAAATTAGCTGGGCATGGTGGTGTGTGCCTGTAATCCCAGCTACTCAGGAGTCTGAGGCAGGAGAATTGCCTGAACCCAGGAGACAGAGGTTGCAGTGAGCCGAGATCGCGCCATTGCACTCCAGCCTGGGTA